AATTCCGGTAGCTCACAAAGTAGAAGGTTTGCTCACAAGACTCCAAATCTTAGAGGGAGCATTGTTCCTCATCCCTCATTTTTTACTGAAAAGAAGAACCTTTGACTTTAGTAACGTTAATAGCTAAGCCCTCGTTGGAACAATATTCTGGAAAGGAACCTATGAGCTTACGTGGGCCAGCCACAGATCTTGCCAGAACTTCGCCCCTGAATCTGTACTACTTGGTATATCTATAGAACGTATTAAAAAGGTCTGTTTTCTGTAAGCAGAGCTGCATTATCTACCCGATACCTGAGAGAAAGCGCCAACCTGCTGTGCTCTCTGCTACCTTGGCCCCATGTAGCTTAATTTTTGCCATCTTGACAGGGGAAAAAACTTTTAACTACGTAACAAAGTTTGTAGCGACGGAAAGAAAATTCTTTGGACACAAGCTGGAAGGGGGCCTGCAGGCCATCTAGTCCATCCCCTTGCTCAGGTGCAGGGTCAGGCATCCCCGAGAAGCGTTTGTCCAGCTGCTGCTTGAAGACTGCCAGGGAGGGGGAGCTCACCACCTCCCCAGGCAGCTGGTTCCACTCTTGCACAACTCTCAACTGTAAAAAAGTTTCTCCTAAGATCCAGTCTGTACCTTCCTGCCCTTAATTTAATGCCATTTTTTGTGAGTCCTCTCCTCTGCCGCCAACGGGAACAGCTCCCTGCCCTCCTCCAAGGGACAGCCCTTCAGATACTCCAAGAGACCCATCCTCTCCCCGCCCCTCAGCCTCCTCTTCTCCAGACTGAACGTTCCCAAGTCCCTCGGCCTTTCCTCACTGGGCTTCTTGGTCTCCAGGCCCCCGATCATCCTCGTCGCTCTCCTCTGCACCCCGCTCCGTTCTGTCCCCACCCTTTCTGGAGAGTGACTTACCACCTTGCGCTTATCAGAACCATCTGTCTGGACAAGCCATTTGACGGATGCATGAGGAGATCTCGGCTCGCACTCCAGAAACACGCTCCCGCCTTCCAGGCCGTATTGAACCTGTTCAGGCAACTGCTGTTCTACTAGGATACAAACAAACATAACAAAGAGAGTGGAATAAGGTAGAGGATAAAAACAGGGTTCGTTGAGTCCAGTGTCCCCAGTGCTCCATATAACAGCACATACGGCACTGTGGTCAGCACAGAAGTCTGTTTGGGTTTTTTTTTTTAATATAACTTTATTTTTAAATTTTAAACGATACAATCGTTTCAACAGGTATAAAGTCCTCAACAATACATAACACTTAAAACGATTAACAGTATAACATAAACATTCATAAACAGGTTAATAGAATAATAAAATGGTCATCTGTGCATTCACACCACCCGCCCTCCTTCCCCGCTGCTATCAGCTTCTACATTTTAATAGGGGTTGATTTGCAGCGGTTTGAAGGAACTGGCGGGATGTCCGCGCCCACCCCTCTGGGCATGAGTGGTGGGGTTCCTGTGCATGCCCGAGGGACTGGGCGCGAAAATCCGTTAAAAGAGCTTGCTACAGCACCGATCGATCCAGCGCGTGCGCACTAGATCCCATGGGTGTGAATGCACAGATGACCACTTGAAGATCACCAGTTACAGGTAAGGAACCTGTTTTTATTTAGCCCAAGAAGTCCAGGTACCAGATTTCTAGTATAGCAGACGTAACAGCTTGTACATACATGCTCATTCCTGCCCCAAGGCTTTCTCCTGAGCATCTTTGCCAGCGTCCTTCTGTTCACCAAAGCTTGAGCTCCGTCCTGTGCGGGCTCATGGTGACTGAGGGGAACCTCCACATTCAGAGGCACTAAGCCTTTGAATCCCAGAGCCAGGAGGAAACATCAGGGTACAGTCTTGGCCTCTGTGCCCTGTGGTAGGCCCTCCAGAGGACTGGCTGGCCACTGTGTGAGATGGGATGCTGGACTGGATGGACCCTCCCTGGTCTGACCCAGCAGGGCTCTTCTGGCGTTCTTCTCAGGGGAAGCCCTCGGCCTCTCTCCCCTGTTGCTGGCCCTCCAGAGGAACTGGCTGGCCACTGGGTGAGACGGGAGGCTGGGCTAGAGGGATCCTCCCTGGTCTGACCCAGCAGGGCTCTTCTGATGTTCTTCTCAGGGGAAGGCCTTGGCCTCTCTGCCCTGTTGCTGGCCCTCCAGAGGAACTGGCTGGCCCCTGTGTGAGACAGGATGCTGGACTAGAGGGATCCTCCCTGGTCTGACCCAGCAGGGCTCTTCTGATGTCTTTATGCTCTTATTTCTCAGTATTCCTCTGGGCAAACGTCCTGCAGATGGACAAGTTAGTCATCTGCCTCTTGGCCAACAGTATACATGTCAAAAGATCACTCCTGTGAACAGAAGCTGTGGCAGATTTCCACACACAAGATGCACAAGCACTGCCAGGCAAAGTGCTCGCTAGTGCTGAATTACAATGTACCCCTTTCTTCAGGAGGAGGAGATTGGATTTATACCCTGCCCTTCACTCGGAGTCTCAGAGCGGCTTACAATCTCCTTCCCTTCCTCTCCCCACAACAGACACCCTGTGAGGGAGGTGGGACTGAGAGAACGGCTCTGAGAGAACTGTGACTGACCTAAGGTCACCCAGCTGGCTGCCAGTGGGAAAGTGGGGAATCAAACCCAGTTCTCCAGGTCAGAGTGCCGCTCTTAACCACGACACCAAGCTTAGAAAGGCACCCTTTATCATGACAGTGTCTAGATGAGAGGAAAACTTTTTCAGGCTTTTCTTGCCAGCATTTCTGCTTTTTCCTGAACCCAACCATTCATTGGAATGTCAGGATTTTACTGAAGATGATCAGTCCACACAGTTGTGCGTACCATGCAGAATATGCTTGGCTGCACATCAAGCCAGCATCTGTTTGCACTTCACTAACACAGTCACAAATAGAAGAAGAGATTGGATTTATACCCCGCCCTTCACTACCCAGAGGAGTCTCAGAGCAGCTTACAAACTCCTCTCCCTTCCCCTCCCCACAACAGACACCCTGTCAGGTAAAAGAAGCAGAAGAGGAGATTGGATTTAAACCCCGCCCTTCACTAACCAGAGGAGTCTCAGACTGGCTTACAAACTCCTCTCCCTTCCCCTCCCCACAACGGACACCCTGTGAGGCAAAAGAAGAGGAGGAGACTGCTGGATTTATACCCCACCCTTCACTACCCAAACGTGTCTCAGAGCGGCCTACAAACTCCTTTCCCTTCCCCTCCCCACAACAGACACCCTGTGAGGCAGGTGGGGCTGAGAGAGCTCTGACAGAAACTGCCCTTTTTCAAGAACAGCTCTGACAGAACTATGGCTTGCCCAAGGTCATCCAGCAGGTGCAAGTGGAGGAGTGGGGGAATCAAACCCGGTTCTCCCAGATTAGAGTCCACACACTTAACCACTACACCAAATACCCACGGGACCGTCTCTCCTTGTATGTGCCCCACAGAGCTTTGCACTCTGCAGATGAGCATCTTCTGGTAATCCCCAGCCTGAAAGATGCCCGCTTAGCCTGGGCCGGGGCTTTCTCTGCTCTGGCCCCAGCCTGGTGGAACGCGCTCCCAGCTGAGGTCAGAGCCCTGCGGGACTTGCTACAGTTCCGCGGGGCCTCTAAAACAGAGCTGTCTCATCAGGTCTTCAGCTGAGGCGGTGGACGTCCAGCCATCTCGGTCTTCCTCTGTCCACAGTATCGGCCCCAGTGTCAAGGCTAACCTTTGGGCAGGAGGCATTAAGGACTGCCTGAAGTTATTTGTTAAGCTGCCATCTTGTTTTGTACCGCTTTAGATCCTGTTTTTGAATATACGTTTTAGTAAGTGTTATGTTAAATATACTGTGGCCGCCGTGAGCACACTTGTGGGGTAGAGAGGAATATAAGCCCAATAAGATAAATAAAATAAAAGAGGGAAAAGACGAGATTGGATTTATACCCCACCCTTCACTTGGAGTCTCAAAGCGGCTTACAAACTCCGTTCCCTTCCCCTCCCCACAACAGACACCCTGTGAGGTAGGTGAGGCCAAGAGAGCTCTGAGAGAACTGCTCTTGAGAGAACAGCTCTGAGAGAACTTGTGACTGACCCAAGCAATGCTCCCTCTAAGCTGTGGAGTCTTGTGAGCAAAAATTCTACTTTGTGAGCTACTGGCATTGGAGCTGTGAGCGAGCAATTCGGCTACTGCATGAATTAGTTTGCTCTGGAGCCGCATCCTTCCTGAGCCAAGACAAAAATGTGTGAGCCGGAGGCTAAAAAACTGTGAGCTGGCTCACACTAACTCAGCTTAGAGGGAACACTGGACCCAAGGTCACACCAGCAGCTG